TTGCTATTTTTGCATGGTCGTGGCTTGGGCTCTACTCTGTGCCATCCCCAGCCATTGCTCGGGGCCGTTGCCTAGCCTGCAAGTGCCGCGCCCCAGACAGCCCCGCGCTGCTGCTGGTCTCGCTGCATCTTCACCACTCCGTGGGGCTCGACGCCTCCAACGGGGACATCCTGAACAACCTGGGAGAGTTTGCGAGCAGTCAGTCGGCATGGCACATCATCGTAGGGGATTTCAACGTTGGTCCTGATATCTTGGAAGGCATGGGTTCCGCGAAAGCCGCTGGGGGGCTTCTCGTTTCCACCCCTGATTGTGCCCGCTATCCCTCTCAGGGTACCCCCTCCAAGTGCGACTAGTTCGTGGTTTCCTCCCCTCTTTCTGAGGGCCTCAGGGAGGCCAACGCTCGGCTGGGCACGACGCTCAACCCCCACCGTCCTGTGTCGCTGGATGTTCACCCTAGGCTTCTCTTCTTGAAGGCTCTCGCCTTCGTAAACCGCCGCCCCTGCCTGTTGACCCCCCCTTCGGCCCTCGGCCGCGGGAGTGCAGCGCTGATTAGGACTTTGTTTTGGACCTTGTCACCACTGCGGTGGACAAAGTGTCTTCTGGGGATGGCGACGGGGCTGCTGCCCTGCTTTCGGAAGGGCACGGTCTTTGGGCGAATAGAGCTGAACTCGACTTAGCCAGGATTCTTGGGGCGGGCCTTCCTGCGTGCGGGCCCAGGGGCAAAACCGTCGAAACTTTTTCTGGAACCCATCTGCCAGGCGTGCCATCCTCCCAAGGTCGTGCGAGGTCTGAAGTGGTTGGAGACCCAGCTCAAGGCCTTGAGATCGGAAGTGTTGAAGTATCGAGTTCCACGACGATGCATCAAGGCCTTGTGTCCGCTTCCGCCGTGCTCGGGCGCGGCCGGGGATAACCATGCTGGAGATGTTCGCCAAGCCGCCAGCTTAGCAGCGTCCTGCGCTGATCGATTGGCTGGCCTCTCGTGCCTGGCGTCTTCGTCGGCTCCTGCTGGGGCCACTCCTCCCCCCCGCGTTTTGCCCGTCGCGCTCGATAATCATGGTCAGGAAAAGGCGGATCTGATCGTTCGGATCCCGCCCGCGCTCTCTGATTTTTCTGGCTGATTTGGATCAGCTGCTCTCCGCCCTCGCCCCGCTCCTCGATGGTGCTGCTAAGGCGTTCGCGAAGGAAAACAAGGCCAGATGGCGCCCCCGGCTCCAAGAGGGGTTGGACAGAGGGGGCCGCAGGGCTCATCAAGTCCTCAGAGACCCTGCCCCTTGGGCCCCCACGGTTACCTAGGCCTCCAACGGGGGCCTCGCGGCTGACCCCAGGGTTCTCTTAGCTGCTGAAGGCCAGCGCTTTCAGAAGTGGTGGGGGTTCGGGGCTGGCCCTCCGGCGGGGCATGTGCAGTTGGTTTCCCCTTTGCCCAGATTGTCCCCAGATGACATAAGACAAATAAGCAAGTCCTATCGCAAGCAGAGTGATGTCTCAGTTGACGGCCTCCACCTCAGGCACTACTCGGTTTTGAGTGATGCCGCCCGTGCCGCTCTCTCGGGGCTTCTCCTGGCCGTTGAAGGTGCGGGGCGCCCCGACCAAATAATGGTGGTGTGTTTGGCCCTCTTACCTAAGCCTGTTGGGGGCTTTAGGCCGATTGGTGTTTTTGTTTCGCGGCATCGGCTCTGGGGCCGCGCCAGGAGGCCCTTCGCGCTCGAATGGGAAAAACGTTTCGCGAGGCCCTACTGGGCGGCGGGGGGCAACAGGGGAGCCACCGATGTTGTCTGGAGGCAAAGGTTCAAGGCCGAGGCGGGCATCTCCAATGGCCTCGCCTCAGGCTCGGTCTTCTATGATCTGCAGAAGTACTACGAGAGCATCTCTCTCGAGTACCTCGAAAGTCAGTGCCACAGCCTAGAGTTCCCCATTGTCATTACCAGAGTTGCTATGACTTCGTATCGTTCGTGCAGGGTTCTCAGTCTCGGAGGCATCATCGAGGGCCCGTTCTGGGTCGATTCAGGAGTAGTAGCAGGATGTTCTATGGCGACAACGTTCATCAGGGTCTCCGCCCCCAAGGCCTTCGACAACTTATGTGCAGGCTTGGCCTTTGGCACTGGCTTTGGCGCTTACATTGGCGACACTTGTCTTTCGCACATGGGCACGGTCCCCGAAGTTGTTGAGGCGCTCGTATCGTCCTCGGTGAGCCTGCACAAGGCGGTTACCCAGGAGCTTGGCTGCACGCTGGCCCTCGACATGGTCGGCTGCGCGTGCAGCCGCAAGTCAATTGCGATTCAGCTCGAGGTGCGTCTGGGAGAGTTGCGCGGCAAGCCCTCAGCCTCGGTGGTGAACCCTGGTGTTGATTATACGGCAGGCCGCTCATTGCGCACCACTACCCCAGGCTCCAAAAAGGGCAAGGCGTCGAAACTCAAGGCTCGCCAGGCTTTCGTCAGTGCAGGCGCATGGATAAGCACAAGCAAGTCCTGGGCAGAGCTTCGGTCAAAATCTTCGCTCCTGGCCCGCTGGCGGGCGTTTCTTTCGGGTCCGAAATCTGGGACGTCTCGGGCCGTGAACTTCACGCGCTAAGGAGTAAGGGCATGGCCACTATCTCTCCCAAGTCTCCGCATCGTTCCCTCACCGCCCTCTCCCTCCTGGAGGGTGATTCCCCATGGGGGGCGAGCGTGGCGCCCATCATTCGTTGGTGCAAGGAGTTATAGCTCGTGCAAGTGAGAGCTTTTGATGGCGCCCTCCCTTTTTCGTTTTTGCGTGCTGCTTGGGGGGGCACCTTCGACAATGATGGCTGGTCTTGGGCCAAAGTGAGGGGTCCTGTTTCTGCGCTGCGCATGTTCTTAAACCGCTTAGGGTGGCAAATGTCAAACTTCTGTACCGTTGTTAACGATCTCGGTGAGACCCTCCAGCTTCTTCTTATGTCTCCGAAGCTTGTGGGGGTTTCGTGCCGTGCCGCGGTGTTGAGGGGGCTGGAACGGTCTCCGGGGGAGAAGCTGGGGGTCGACCACAGACTCTGTTGGGACACTGTTAGGTCCCAAATCAGGCCGAAACGCACCAGCCCCAAGGACCTTTCCACTATGAGAGCTCTTGCCTGTAATGCTATTTGGACGGCCAGCTCTGCGAAGCTGGCTGGCTACCAGATCAGCGACCTCTGCCAGTTGTGCCGCAGGGCGGTGGACACTTTGTGGCACCGTATCTGGGAGTGCCCCTCGCGTGCGCCCGAGAGGCGAGAACTCGCTGATGCCGAAGTCCTGGCTTGTGCGCTCGACACGGGGGCTGAGGACCACGAGTTCCCTCTCTGGATCTACGGGGCGTTTAGGCACCCTGGCGACTATTTCCGTCGGCCTGAGAGTAATGGAGAAGTCTTGGTTCACTGGGCGGCCCCTGGGGTCTCTCTCCCTGGGCCCCTGGAGCCCGCCCCCACTTCTCCTGAATTAGGCGTCTGAGGGCCCCTCCGTATAGATGGCGCTTGTATCCGCCACGCCGTTGACGAATTGGGCAGAAGCGCCTGGTGTGTGGCCATGGTGGACCCCGATGCCAACTAGCTCTGTGAAGTGTTTGCCCCTGTGCGGCCCCCGTGTGCTCATTCGCCCCAGGCCGCTGAGTATTCGGCCTTCTGTGGTATCGGTGTATGTGTTGGAGGTAGGGCTCACGCCTATAGCGATTGTGCCAATGTTGTTAAGCAGTACTCCCTAGGCCTCGACGTCGTTTGTACGTCTCCCAAGAGGGTCTACTCTGTGCTTTTGTTGCAGGATCTTGCTTTGGGGAAGGGGAAGCTGCGCTCCCTGGCCAAAGTCGCTGCCCACCTCGGCCCCGAAGAGGAAGGTTTGTCTCCTGATGAGGTGTTTTCGAGGAAAGGCAGCGAGCTCGTTGATGCTGGAGCCAGGCGAGCGGTAGCCCCCCCCCCCCCCCCCCCCCCCCCTTTTGACCCTCAGCTCTCAAAGGAGCTTGGCTGGACACTTAAAGTTTCCAAGGCTGTGCTGGCCTTTGGCGCTGCCCTCCCCCCCTCTGGCCTCGGGTGGAGTTTCTTGGGGTGGAGCGGGTTCCTCCTCCTCCTGCTCCCGCCGTCTCACGGCTGCAGCACCAATGGGAGCTCATCAGCAATGTCTGGAGATGCATGGCGTGCCTCCACCCCTGTCTAAGTCCAAGCCTGAGTCTGGGGGGTGCAGGGGCCGCTCCAGGTTCGACCCGGCGGTTCTCGATCGGTTGGGGCATAAGGTCATTGCTCTCGCTTGTTCCGTCAATTCGTTCTTGTTCACGTGCTTGCACTGCAGGTGTTATAGGTCTGGAGCCCCGGTCCAGAAGTTGCGCCAGCTCTGCCAACCGCCCACTGTAACGGGCAACAGGGATTGGAGGACGATTCAGAAGGGCAGCCACCCTGATAAACCTCAGGTCATGGTCGAGACTGCGTACAGCTTGCCAGTCTCGGTCTTTCTCGGTCGCGTCGCCTCGGGATTCCCTCCTTCCGAGCCTCCCTTCCTTTTCTCTCCGCCCGTCGTGCCCCCGCGGGCAAGGGTTGTTTCTGGCTGCGCGCAGGCCCCACTGCGCGCCCAGCGTGCTCCGCAAGGCGGGGCCCGCGCTGCTTGGGGG